TAAGTCTCTGTGAACTTTCAGTAAAATTTATAAAAAAAAAAGCTGTTTGCACAGAGGTGTTATGTCACATTGCAAAACAGTGGAAGAAACTTAAATGAGAACTGTTTAGGTGAATTGTAGTCTCTACATAATTGGAAAATTCAATAGCCATTAGAACAGTAACTGTGGCAAACAAAAATGTAATGATGGGGGATGCAAAGTTTTATATAGACTGATATAGAGGAGATGTCTTAAAGGAAATGTATTAACATGCAGTACTTCTTTTGGTGTTGTATTCATTCATTTGTTTCTTTTCCAGACTTGCTGCAATGTGATATTAATGTTAATATTTGTATGTGGCAAATGAAAATTATCTTATGTACCTTAAGGTTTAATATAAACCTCTGTAACAGTCACTCACCAATGACCATTCCCGTGATCTCATCCATTCTCAGACCTAAATAGATCTGTTTGGTTTATTCACTTCTTTGGAAAAAACAAACAAGTATTTATGACAGTTCCAGGACGATGTCAGCATAGAAATGCATTTCATAGCATTTTCAGTGAATATAATCTTACGGAAATAGATTGCCACGGATTTTATTTTTTTCAAAGTGCTGCTGGGTAGATAGGAACTGCCAGCCTTTTAGGTCATAACTGAGATCACACAGTTTGCACCACAATTATATTTGTCCTAAATTGCTGTTGTACTTTCCTTAATAATCTGGTTTATTGACATGAAAGAACTAAGATACACAGTACTTAGAACAAGGTGGTGTCTCTCTGTTTCTTTATGGCAATTTTCCTGCCTCTCCTTTCCTCTTTTTTACTTACTTCTCACTCACTTCCAGGCGGTTAGCGGAAGCATTTCATATTACTGAAGATTCTGACCCTTTCAATGTACGTTCTTTGGGGTCAAAATTCAGTGACAGCTTAAAAGAAGATGCCAGGTATGTAACTTGTTACCTGCTTCCTTATTTGTGAGTTAGAGAGTGTTTGGTCTTTTAAGATGTAGTAACTAATATGTTCTTCCTTTTATGGTTGAGACAGTTAAGAGATGTTTATCTTTTATAAAGTAATTATTCAGTATTTCCTAAATATCTGTTGGTGTCTTGAACTTGCAGTTGTGCGGTGCATGTATGTGTGTGTGGCTGAATCCTGAGGAAGCATGTGAACACCTGAGGACAGAATGGACTGACTAGAAAGCGCTCTGGGCCTCTTTCCACTTCTGTCCTTCCAAGTCTAACAGCCACATGAGTCCTCACTGGCCCTCCCTTGCCTGTTTCTCCTTCTGTCTTATCTTTTCTTGTTCCTGTTTTCTCTTCCCTTGTTCCTGTTAGCTGGCAGTTCCTGCCTCTGCAGCTTTTCGGCCAGATTTGTCCATTGTCTGTACTCCACAGCAGGGGATGGAAAGAGGGCTTCCCCGGAAGAGCAGGAACAGATGAAATTAACCATGGTGATTTCTCATTTCAGGAAAGACTTAAAGTTCGTCAGTGACGTGGAGAAGGAAATGGAGGCCCTTGTTGAAGCCGTGAATAAGGTTGAAGTCAAACATCCAACTGGATATGTCTCTAGGGCCAGCTTGATAGAAAACCAGGCCCCTGAAACAATGTCAGCCAAGAGTAGTTTTGGGGAAGTCACGATGTCCTTGAGGGTCTTTGTTTTTTTCAAAGCCCAATTATTGTAATATCCTTATATAGTCGTTACAGAAAAGATATCTACAATTAAATTAAATGTAAATTAAAAAAAACCAAAACCCTTAGGTCTGTTCCTAGGATCAGGTAAAGAAATTCTTTTCAAGGGGACTCAGGAGTAATAGTTGAGTAATTGTGTGAGACATTTTAAAAGGCAACCCCTTGAGGAGCTACTGTACGAATATAGAACTCTCCAGCTCCTTATTGCCCTAAAGAGGAAGCCTTGGGTAAAGATGAAAAGTTGTGTGATTAGAGCTAAGAGCAGTGGAATAGGCTACCTCAAAGAACCCAGCCCTTATCATTGGAGACAGGCTGGGCTGCTGAGAAGGTAGATAGAATCCAGAGTATGATTCTGTCAGAAGCAGCTGCTGCTGTGCTGACTCCTTGCTGCTCACTGGGACCTGGGAGTGTGGACAGGATGGCTGGATTAGCTCCCTTTGTAATAATGCTGGTTTCCCACAAGCCACTTCCCTGTCCCCTCTACCCCACCATCCCCACTCCCCAACAAAAAGGAAGCCTGAACTCTGCTTGTGTGTCTCCCACACCTTTTAGTGTAGAATGTACTTTTTAGTAGAAGTGAGTAGGGTTTTTCTTTCTTAAGCTTCCATTTAACTAGTCATTTCTTGAGAATGTCACTCCCCACCCAGCTATGGCTGCAGTCAGGAGTTGCTGCCCTGTGTGCTTCAGTTTCTGTCATGTACCCTTTGTCCCTAGCCTGTCCAGCTGTCACTGTTGTGACTCACAGAGCAGGTGGAGGAAGTGCTTGTGGCCAGGGAAACACATGAGCACTGAGCGCAGGACTTGGCCACCTCCACCCAGGCTGTTCTTGGGGGGCGGACAGGACTCATATTTCTGTTTTTAGGATGATTTTGTCAATCAGTTACCTCTTACCTCAATGCAGGGAAAGAATATTAAGAAGAGCCACTCCTTCCCTCCCATGAACAGAGACCACCGCCGGATCATCCACGACCTGGCCCAGGTGTACGGCTTAGAGAGTGTGAGCTATGACAGTGAACCTAAGCGCAACGTCGTGATCACTGCAGTCAGGTGGGTTGATGGGCACGATGGGAAGAACTCCTCAGCAGTATAGCAGGGACCCAGCAGCAGGGCCTATCAGCAGCCGCCTCCTCTCCCTTTCTAAAGAATAGATGGAATGTTTGCCACCTGGAACAGTCATTCCAAATGGTTTAAAGGTCTGAGCCAGAGAGCAAAGCGCCTGCCTCAGTCCACAGAGCAAACCTGCATCAGGTCTCGACGTCTAAGTCTCTCAAGTCCAGACCCACATCACATGCTGGAGGCAAACAAAACAGGCTTGGACCCTGACTGGGAGCCTGCACTACATCTGTGCCTTTTGCCCACCACTGCTTCCATCTCCTGTTCCTACCCCTGCCTGCTCCCTGACCCCACGCTCCCTGCTTCTGGAGAGATAGAATAGCAAGATTGCTTGATTCTCTGATGAGGCCTAGCCTGTGAACAGTGTTTTGCCATCAGGGGAAACAGTCCTTTGAATCGGAAGGCACAGGAAAGAGTCAGGATCACCTCAGAACCTGGGAAAGTAAACACAGCTTCCCTGTAAAAGAAATTAGGTGTGCCAAGAGAAAGCCGGCACAGGCCCAGCCCAGATGGGAACAGCAGGGCCCATACAGGAGAGGAGATAATTGATAAAGGTTCATTATCAGTGCCCAGCCCATCATTGTGCCAGAGATAATGCATTGATTTCTAGCTCATTTCTAGCACTGATTTCAATCTGCCTCTTTTGAATTGAAAATTCAAAATTGAAAATTGCTTCAATTTTCCATTTTTGATACCTTTTGTTTTGTTTTGTTTTTACTTTTATCAGAGGGAAATCCATTTGTCCTCCCACCACTCTGACAAGCATCCTGGAAAAGGAAATGCAGTCACGGCCTCCACCACCAATTCCTCATCACAGACATCAGACAGACAAGTAAGGATGCATGCAGGTCCTAGCAGTTGGTGGTCCCGTGGGACAGCGGCTGCCAGGTATGGCCTACATCACAGCCTCAGCCAAAGTGTCTGGAGCAGTATCTTGGCAGGACTAATGTCTCTCCACCTCTGGGGACCGGGTGACCCCATGGGCAGTGGTGTGAGAGATAGGAGGGCTGTGCGAGCCATAGACCGTCACAAGAGTCCAGCACCACTGAGACGTGATAGTCAAGAGTCATTGGCACGATCATGCCATTCTTTCTATCTTTCCCCCTTTGTTTATTTTCCTGTAAAAAAATATGGAAATGTTTAGGGGAGGCTATATTACATTATTACTATAACAAGCCTCTGTGCCCGTAACCAGATTTCAGCAGTCATCAGCTCCTGTTTGCCCAACTGTCTTATGCCTCACCACTTACCTTTAACTTTCCAGTGACCTGTGTCTATTTTCCCCAAAGAAGAAAGATTGATAATTCCTTGTTTACTTTTCAGGAATTCTGGAAGCAGCAATTTGCAGAAAATAGCCAAGGAGCCAGTAATTGACTACTTTGATGTACAAGACTAAGGAGATGAAGGCACACTCAAAGAAGAGAAGGATTAAGTATAGTGGAGACTTGTTTGCCAGCAGATAAATCAAGCTTGTCCCTCCCTGCCTGACACAATCACAGCCTCACGTACTGTCTTCTGTGGACAGGCCAGAGGTCCAAGCGTGCCAGCAGCTCCCTTGTGTTCTGTTCCTGTCTGCAGCACGAGTTTCTGTGCAGCCAGATCTCCGACTGGGCATCTGCTCGTACTCAGCCGTGTCTCTGAGGAGGCTCCGCGCACCATCACTGTGACTGCTCTCAGGACCCGGCGGAGCACTGGGCTTCATTTGGACAAACCAGAATGGTAGCCCGAGACTGTCCTGATGGCGCTCAGTCATCACCTGAGCTGTTCCAGTTACTCATCTTCCTGAAAATGCTTGCAACACCACCCTGCTTTCTTAACCCAAACTGATCTCAATCTTTGGAAAGGCACAAGTGGACTTGTCAGTCTGGAATATTGCACCATATCTGGAATCATGCGTGTTTTAAACCCAGCTTTCTCACCTAAATCTTTTTCCTAAGTCTTTTTACCCTCCTTGGTCTATCTAGCCAAACTTGAGTGATTCCCTATAATGTTCATTTAGGAGAGGAGAGGAATGATATCAGTTGACAAAATTCCATTTTCTTTTCCAGTTCCATTCTCTGCACCTTTCATGCCATGTCACTGAGCCTGTTAGCTGGCCGTCACTTAATCCATCCACCATGATGATAGAATACATTGATTGAGCTCTTTCCTCTGGTGAGTTCCCATCATGGCCTCTGAACTGGCATGTGTAACCCTGATTCCATTACTCCAATTGAGAAAGAGTCTCAGGTAGATACACAGGCCTATGTTGCTTTTTCCTAGACTTTCCCAGCCTCCTTGGCCCTCCATGTCGGTGAGCTCTGAGCTTCTGTTGGAATATACAGAAAAGTATGTGACTTATGGCCATTGTCCCACTAAAAGTATTCTTAAAGCTCTTTTAAGATAAGCCCATCAGTGAGTATATTTAGTTTGACCCTCTACATTGGCACCCCTTCAGAATGGAGGCTAGGCTTCTAGCAGCATCCCCTTACTCTAGTACACATCACAGGCCATGAAACATCAGAGGTTTGAGAAGGGGCATCACAAAGCCAGATGTTTCATTTTCTTAGGAAGAGCAAGGCCATTCTTTAGTCTTCAGCAGACAATCCTCTTCAGAGACCTCAGGTACAGCCACAGAAACAGGTGATTTGGGGGAAGAGGCGGATACAGAAGCACCTGGGTCTGGGTCTGCTGGGTGCACGGTCACATGGCTCCCCAGCACAACAGGAAGTCCATGATCATCTGTCACCTCAAGCATTGGATCCGGTATGTGGATTGAGCATCTGGGAATCAGCAGGATACATGGTTTCTGAATCTCCTCTGCTGCGTAGCTCCTTGCCATTCGGTAGAAACGGCAGTATGACCCACCTCAGCAGGGTTGTTGGGAGCATGAAAGTGAGAGAACATGTGAAGGTGCCTAACCCCTCATAGGTGCTGAAAGTTTATAAAAATGATACTTGATACCTGGAAATCATGTAAGCATCTTCTTTCTCTATAACACTAGCCGAGTAAAAGTTTCTAGAATGCTAAACAAGCCTCCTGGTGGATGCTCGTGTACCTGTGCCCTGCCAGCCTGGTGCTGAGGCTGTGGAACAGACAGGGCCTGCTCTCTTAATCAGTAGGGGCATATATTTGAACAGATAACATGCCAAAGTGTGTGACGGGATTTGTTACTAAATGTTGAAGAACCTGTAAGGCGACATTATGTCAAATTGTAGGAATAAATGGATTCAGCAGTTGAAGGAAGACACGTGGATGGAAAAAGAAAAGTCCTGAGATGGTAGCTCTGCTGTTTAGAGAAGGAATGAGGCCTCTCTCCTCCTGATCTGAGCCACGGGAGACAAGCTCTGGGGTTTGGTCTCTGGTGGGCTAAGGAAAGTCTAATTCAGAAAGGACTGATGCCTGGAGGTGCAAGTGACAAAATTGGACAAGAGGACCCAGGTCAGCCTTGAGGGGGCAACTGGAGGAGATGAACCAAAGTCCTGATTTATAATTGAGAGCAGGGATTGGCAGAATTATTCCTATAAACTTCTGTTGCTTCTAACTACATGTAACAAAAGTAGCCATATGTGTAAATGAGTGTGGCTGTGTTCCAGTAATACTATTTATGGACACTGAAATAAGAATTCTTCACATTGCAAAACATCAAGCATTTAAAAATGTAATACCTATCCTTAGCTTGAGGGCCGTATGAAAACAGATGACAGACTGTCCCAGACTAGTCTCATGGACAGATGTGTGGATAAAGATTTGGGGAGCAAAGCATGAGGCAGAAGGCCCACTGTGGGGGCTCTAGGAGTGATCCAGGAGAGCAGAGGGTTGTAGAAGTCTGTGCTGCAAAAAAGAAATGGGAGTTGAGGAAGATGAGGTAGGCAGGATGCCAGGGAAAGTAGGGGAGCTGGCCCCTGTTTCTTGGTTGCTTCTCATGGTTTGGTGGATTCACCATTGATCAGTGACCGTGAACAAGATTCTACATGAGCTTGCATCTAGCAAATCCCTACCCTCCCATCCCACATGTGGACAGAATCAGGTGATACCTCCAGCCCAAAGCTTTTGTCCAGCAGAAACCTCTTTATGGGGACAGAGTTTTCCAGAGAAGCTGGAATCTCTGGAATTCCCTCATCAGCATAGGCAGCCTGGTGTGCAGTCGGGGCTGCTTGCAAAGGAGATGAAAGCAGGCCCCTCTGGTCCTGAGTCAGCTCTGGATTCTGGCCTGAGCAGTCAGACAGAAAGAAGGAATGTCCGCCTTGGGGAGAGGTGTAAAGACTGTCAGTGGACCCTGGAGATTAAGAGAGGTGGGAAGTTATGAGCAATCTCTCCTACAAAGCACCTGCCTTCTTGCTTTGTCCTTATGACCTGGAGACCTAGTTTTCTAAGGAGACCCTGCCATTGTGCCTTTCCTAAAAGGAGAAAGGAATTGCCAGGCCAGAACTCCTGCCCCTTCACTTGCTTGTTAGACCCCCCCAAGCACCCAACCACCCACAGGACTAAATGTCCTTTACCATCTTCCATGACCTTTATAAGACCTTTAGGATTCTCTAGCTCTTCCGGCCTGAAAAGGACAGTTTCTTGAGCTCACATGAGCAGAGAATACTAGGCCGGCATCAGAATCTGTTCTTGGCTTTCCCAACAGTCATCAATCTTTCCGGCTTTGCCAACAAAGCTTGGTCTTCGCTGTGGCCTGGTGTCCCTCAGTCCCTCGCCTCGCATCACAGCTGTCCCCTACCAGGAACCTGACGAAAGAGTGAGGGAGTCACCGTAAACTACACTTTGCCAGAAAACCTTTCTGATAGCCACATGCTGTGCTCAACTCTTTACTCCTGCATGGGTTCTTATTTTACTGATGAAGGTTGGAAAAATTCGAGATTGGAAAGACTTGAATTCAATTGTTTTGTTATTGATCTTTGAGTCGAGCACAACTCATAGCAACCCTATGAATAAAAGGCCTGAAGCCCCTCTACAATTATCAATATTTTTCAAAGTTCATGGAGTTTCTGTAGGCAAGTTGTTAGAAAGTGGATGCCACTCCTGCTTCCAAACCTGTCATAGTATGTTATTGTTATGTGCAGTTGACTCGCCTGCAATGCAGTGATCCTTTGTACAGCAGCTCTTAGCCCTTCCCTGTCCTGAGCCTGTCTCACTAACTCCAACACACCAACCCCCACCTCCCCAGTTACTGTATCAATCCGTAGCATCAGACGTTTAGCAATGGGGGGCAGAAAAAATGAGCCAGAGGGGAATAGTTTTTGCCTCATCTCAAGTAAGGAGCTGTGGTGCCAACCCAAAGGCATCTAGTTTGAAACCACCAGCTAGCTGCTCATTGGGAGAAAGATACCAGTTTTCTCTTTACATCACCAACAGTAATAAACAGCTGATCCGATATGGAAACACTGGTTTCAGAAGAGGCGGGTGAGTAACCCTGTGGATCAGAGTGACCCGAGTATAACTGGAATAAGACCTCAATCTCTTCTCCTTCCTCTCCTAAATTCCAAAGAAGTCAATGTTTTTCTTTTCTACCAGTACGTAAAGAATGATAAAAGAAAACCAAATAAATTCTCCCTAAAATATTCATTCCAGCTTTAAAAGAATTCTGTATCTTCCTAAACTTACTATTCTGCATGTACTTTCCAGAGTTTTGGTCATAAGATGGACTTTCCTTGATGAAAAGATAATGCAGACCTTTCCACATTCTCTCCTGACAAAAATGAAACCAAACCCTCGGGAAGGCCGCACACCTGCGTGTTTTTATTAGTATTCCATGGCTAGAGGTCTGAGAATCCAACCACTTCCTCCTAAAAAATCAACCTATACACCCTGTAAAAACACACAGACACTTGTATAGGGACCTAACAGGAGGTCTTCCTGCGCTTGTTCCACCCTCGGCTACGGGTGGTAGGGCTTCAGGGGGAGAATCTGTGCTAGAGAACATGGGCACCTCTCGGGTGGTGCAGTGCTCCACAGCTACCACCCGTCTGCCACCATAAGCCTGTGTGCTGCTTAGGTGCTAATCGGGTGTCAGCAGAAATGCCGAAATAGGACAGACCAGGAAGAAAGGTGGAGAGATTTCTGACCATGTGTCCCCGGGAGATCCAAAACCCCTGTTGGTTCTAAATCCAAAACCTGTGTCCTCTCAACTCCGCTGGCACAGCAGGGCCTGAGCATAGAGCTTACCCTACAGTCCCCCAAGCAGGGTGGCCCAGCGGCTCAGGACAACTGCAATTCAAGGAGACTGCCCCTTTATCCTGAGGAGCCACCGGGGGGTTCAGACCACCACAGCCTTTGGCTTGGCAGCACAGTTAACTGTGGATGATGCCACCAGAGCGAAAGCTTTCTTTGCCAAATGTTAAAAGACCTATCAAGAGCCTCCAGAAGAGGTGAAATTTTTCGCCTGCAACAGTCACTAGGGGGCGGTATGGACCACTATACCTACTAGAGCGGTGTGGGATGGGCTAAGGCCAGAAAAGTTCTTTTTACTTAAAACTTTCAAAGTCAGATATAGGACCAAAATCTATTACATTTCTCATATTTTAGTACTTTTTCATGCTTGTATATATAAAGCATTTAGCTTGGGGGCTAAAAATATAACATCAATAAGCAAGAGTGAAATGTGTTCTGCAGAAAGAAGACCACAGTAAACCCTCCTCATTATCTGTCATTAACCGATTCCTTCTTTCCTCAAGATCTGAGATAATTGTGGGGCATCCAGCACTTGAGATCATGAACAGCTGGACGTAGGAGTCTGAGCTCTGGCCTTTCATTCAGTTCAGTGTATGTTGAACAACAGTTTGTTCCATAAGCACCATGTGTTTAATAAAGGCTGACCCAAGCTATGGTATTTCCAGTCACCTCATGGCATGTGAAAGTTGAACAATGAATCAGAACAATCAAAGAGTAATTGATGTCCTTGAACTGTGCTGCTGGCAAAACTATTGACTATCCCATGATCTGCCAAAAGACTAGAACACTCTTAGAAGAAGTGCAGCCAGAGGGCTCCTCACATACTTGGAGTTTGTTATCAGGAGGGGCTGGCTAGTCCTTGGAAAAGGCTATGAAGCTTGGGTAAGTAGAGAGAAGAGGAGAAGAAGACTCTGAGATGGAATGGCACAGTGATGCCAACAGCAGAGATAGTGCAGGATGGTGCACCTGTTCTGTTGTACATAGGTGTCGTTATGAGTCAGAGTCCCCTCACAACAAACAACATAGGCCAGCTGGGCTCCATGGGAAATAAACAGTGAACAAGACAGACTGCGCTGTCTGCTTGGAGCATGTGTTCTCTTTGTGAAAGACTGATGGTGCTATAAAGAAAAAGAAAACCCAAAGGGAACATGGAGAGGAAATAGGTGTAGAAGTCTTATTTACATAATAGTCTCTCTTTTTATTTTTTTATGGTGGAATAAGTTTATTCTTATATACAGAAGAGTCAATGTGTACATCAGCCCATTTTGGTGGCTAGTTCTTTAGCCTTGGCCTTCTCCAGCTTGGCAATGTGGACCACTGACTTGGGCCAGGACGTTACCTCCCCAGTGGTGGATCTCATCATATCTGTCATTGTAATTGGTTCTGATGGCTTCTACCAGCTTCGCCAGAGCGCCTTTATCTTCCGGGTTCACCTGCGTGAAGGCAACAGTGGTGCAGATTTTCCAGTGGACGAGGCGGCCCAGCCTGGCCTTGCCCTTGATGATGCAGTAGGGAACACCCATCTTCCGACACAAAGCCAGCAGGAAGACCACCAGCTCTATGGGGTCCATGTCGTGTGTGATCACCCGCCACCAGTTGGGCCTTCTTGTTCTCCACCAGGGTGATGATCGTATTCACCCCGGCATGGAGGACAGGGGGTCTCTTGGTGGGGGTGTCTCCTTTGCCAGCAGCCTTCTTCTCAGTCCAGGCCAGCAGCCTGTGCTGCTTCTCTTTCTTGGTCTCTGGTCGGTACTTGTGGGCCAGCTTCAGCAGCTGAGTAGCTGTCTGGCGGTCCAAGGCCTGGGTGAACTGGTTAACAGCGGGTGGCACCTTGAGTCATTTGTAGAGGATTTGCATCTGCCACTGCAGCCAGATAAAGCAGGGCCACTTGATGAAGCGGGTAAGGTCCCTTTTGGGTTGGATGTCCTGCCTGCTGCCAAAGTTTATGGGCCTTTTCTCGAATAGGGGATTCGCCACCTTCTTGGCCTCCTGCTTCTTGACCACAGCGGGCGCCGGGGCCACCTTCTTCCTCTTGGCCTTCTTTCCTTTCAGCATCTTGAGCAGATGGGCAAGAGAGCATAGTAGTCTCTCTTGAGATGGCCTTCAAGCAAAGACTTAGCCATACAATTATCTGAAGGGCAAAGCAGAGGGAACAGCCATTGTTAGGACTCTGGATAGGAGCATGTCATGGACAATAAAGAAATAGCAAGGCCTGGGAGGCTGCTGTTGTTGTTAGGTGTGACTCAGTGACCCAGTGGACAACAGCTGACCCTTGCCCTATCCTGCAGCATCTCACGAGCTCCGTCATTGTCCAGCCCGTTGGTGTAGTGACTGTGTCAGTAGATCAGAGAGGCTCCAGGGGAGAAAATGGAGGAGTTTTGTGCCTTCGAGTGGGAGCTGACTCACAGCTTAGCCTCGAGCGGGGTTTCGGAGGCTCCCATGGAGCAGCTGGTGGATTCAGACATCTTGTCTTTAAATTAGCGCTACAACTCCTACCCACAAGGCCATCAGAGCTCCCTACTGGAAAGGAAAGTAGAAATGGGATAGAAAGGTTGAGGGCAGAGAGATGCATGTTACGATACAACCCATTTTTAAAAAGGATCTTTCTTGCTACTTAGGGCTGAGTATAGGGGAGAGAAAACAGGAAACACCAGGCTCTGTACCGTCATCCAGGAGAGATGATGAACTTGAACTGGAGTGACAGTTGGGAAGCGATGATGAGAAGTGGTTGGCAGATGTACACATTTTGAAGAAAAAAAAAACACACCCCCAACAGCATCAGCTGGGGTGTGGGGTGTGAAACAAGAGGGGTGTCAGAGATGACCTCAGAGTGTTTGGCCCGAGCAATGGGAAGATTGGCTCTGCCATTTCAGAGATAGGAGCACATGTGAGTGGAGCAAGTGTAGGGGAGGAAAATGTGTCCAGTGGGTGGTTTTACATCAGAGTCTGAAGTCTGTAGACAGGGATCTAATTTGGGAAGCTGTTTAAATATAATGGTGTTTAAAAACTGTTGAAATAAGGCAAAAAGGGGGGGACCACTGCCTTCAAGTCTCTTCCAACTCAGAGCGATCCTATATGATTTTCTCATAGGGTTCCTCCATCTTCAGGGGCCAAGAGATGAGGACAGGACAGAAATCAGAGGCTTCTGAGATGGAGTTGAGTTCTAAGAGCAGGTCATGGAGAGGTCCTGGGGGAGAGGTTGTCTGGGCTTTGCTTCCAGGTTTCCTGGGAAAGAATGGATTTCTCTCACTTGTCCTGATCCATCTGAACCTCCCAAGAAAAACAACTGGTCCATGGGCATGCTGGGTCAGTAAATGCCCAGTGTTTGAGCTCCCACCGTCAAGGGAGTGCATGGGCTTTGTGTGACCCCCAGGGCCCTATCACTCCTACGTGGGCCACCTCGTCCATCAACAAGTTCTTCAACTGCCACCCTTAGGCTTCGCTGCTCTAACTCTAGTCCACGCCCTTGTGTTTCCCCTGATATCCCACGAGCACCTCCATCTCAACATGACAACGACAACACTCAAACCATCATTTCCACCACGTTGTCTCCTGGGGTCTGCTCTACTCACTCGATGCCTAGGCAGAGCCCTGGGAGAACCCCTTCAACCCCCTCCTTGCAGTGAAGCCCAAATCTGAGCTCCCAGCCTCTAAATCTCTTTCCTGGAAGTCCCCTTCTCGTGCCTCACCAATCAGGCCAGTGCAGCTGCCTCCTCTCTGCTCTCTCATCTCAGTGCCTCTCAATCCAACTGTACACAAAGGTTGTAAGCTCTTTCTCAAGCACCAAACCAGCTTTGCCATTAGTCAGCTTAACACTCCTCCATATTTTCCACACACAAGGTCCCAGCTGCCCAGCCTGACCCAAAAGCCATCACTCCAGCCACTCCCTACCTTATCTTTTGCCTATCCACACTGAGCACTTGTGTGTCACCATCTGTCCCTTTGTTCCCACAATTTCCTCTCTCTACAATACCCCCAACCCAATTCTTAGTCATGAGTTGGGATTGGTGACCATGAGACCCCAAAAACTGGGGTCTCATATGTTTAGATCTCATAGGCTTTGTGTTGAGGATCTAGAAGGAGGAGGAATTCTTCCAGTGCAGTTCTGGGTAGTCTTTCAGAAAAGGCACCATGCTTCCTGGTCAAAGACCAAATAAATGGTCAAAAGGTCAGCTAGACTTGGGAGGAAACCTTTAGCATGTGTCCCTCCCCACCTTCCTTGGAGGTTGTTATCTTCTCTCTAATATCTCCTGACCCAGGACAAAAGGAGGGGGAGTCAGGGGAAGACAACAATGCATTCTTGCTGGGCTACTCCAGGTCTACTGTGATCCTTCATCTGATAACTCCTCCTTATCAGCTAGTAAGAGTTTGGCTGAGCCCCTGGGGGACTCAAAGACTCAGCCTAACATTTATGGCTGGATGTACCTGCATCTGAGCAGTGTGTCTTCTCCCTTAGCCCTCTCTTGACCCAGCCTCTGAGTCTCCAGACCTTCTGAGTCCAGAGCTGACTGTCCAGAACCTGTATAAGTCCCATTAACCCCTGTCCTCTAGCTCCTGAGTCCAGGGATGAGAAGTGGCAAACTCCACTGGCCTCACTTCATTGTAGAGGATTGCTAATGGGAGAAATTAAACTTGAAACATCTCAGCATCTCTTGAGTCTTCTTGTTAAGTAGACGACTCATAGCGATCCTATGACTGAAAGACCTGAACACTTATATAACTCACATCGTTTCTCCAAGTGCATAGGGTTTCCGGAGGCAAGCTATTTCAGAAGTGGATGTCACTCCTGCTTCCAAGTTAGTTTTAATTGGGGAGCTCCATCAAACATTGTCCACCATGGGTAACATTATCCCCATTTTACAGATGAGGGAACTGAGGTCCAGAAAAATTAAGTAACCTGTCCAAATGGTAATGATGAGTATTTATTTGTCTGTTTTATTCTTATTTTGTCTATATGTCAAGAAACCCATGGATGGCACAAACTAACTGTTAGGGCACTCAGCTATTAAATGAAAGATTGCCAGTCGGGACCCTCGCGGAGGCACCGTGGAAGAAAGCAAGCCCTGGAGATGTTCCAAACAGTCACATCCTTGAGAATTCTACTGCGCACAGCTCTCCTCTACACGAGTCAGCACCGACTCAGTGATAACTGGTTTATGTTATCTAACACATCCTCAGTGGGGGCTTATGTGCTGCTGAAAACCATACTACTAGTATTTCAAAGATCAGCAGGTCACCATGGTTGACAGGTCTCAGCAGAACTTCCAAACTAAGATAGATTAGGAAGAACTATTTGACAGTCTACCTCTGAAATTTAGCCAATGGCCGTAACATAGTCCACAAACACAATGTTCTACACCTTGTTTTGGTGACTAGTGTCTGAGATCTTAAGTTTGTAAGCAACCACATGCGGTGCAGCTGTTGATCTCTCCCTTTCCAGAACAATGAGGAAAATTAAATGCCAACTTCAACCTCCATGGCCCCGAGACCAGAAAACCGGATGGTGCCAGCTACTACTGCTGACAACTTAAAAGGGATCACAATAGAGCAAACTGGAGAGTTGTCATTCTTGTTGTTGTTAAGTGCTGTCAAGTATGACTCATAGTGACTGTATGAACCACAGGTCTACACCCTGTCCTGTCCTGCTTCATCCTTATCTTCATCCTTATCTTCCTTGTCACAGACACCGAATCTATCCATCTCACTGCGGACCTTCCTCTCCTTCACTGACCCTCTACATTTCTAAGCATGATGTCTCTTTCCAAGGAATAACCTTTACCATCCTCGCCTCCAAGGAGCACTCTGGTTGCACTTTCTCTAAGACATATCTGTTCTTTTGACAGTTCTTTATCCAGAGGATATTCAGCACTCTTCTCCAATGCCACAGCTCAAATGCATCAATTACTTTCTTATCATCCTTATTAATTGTCCAGCATATCAGGTGATTGGAAAGACTGTGACATGAATCAGGAACACCTTAGTCTTTAAATTAACATCATTGGTCTTTGGAAATTTGGTACTATCTCTGAGAGCAGGCTTTCCCAATGCTGTAGGTCTGTCAATCTCCTAACTGCTGGTACTAAGGTTGTTGACTGTGTATATAAGCAAGTTGAAATTTTAAATCTTTTCTCATCTATCATGATTGGCCCAGTGGTGAGGATTTTTATCTTGTTATGATGTAATCCATATTGGAGGCTATAGTCCCTGATCACCTGCAGCAAGTGCCTCAGGTCCTCCTCATTTTCAGCAAGCAAAGTTGTGTTATTTACATAATTTAGGTTATTGATGAGTCTTCCTCCAATCCTAGTGCAATACTCTTCCTCTTAAAGTCCAGCTTCTCTAATGATTTGCTCAGCATACAGATTGAATAGATATGGAGAAAGGATATTATCCCAGCACACATTTTTCCCAATTTTAAACTGTGCAGTGTGCCATTTCTCTATTCAGACAATAGCTTTTTGGTCTAGGTACATATTTTGTATAAGCATAATTGTTCTGGAATTCCCACTTTTCTCCATATTAATTTTAGTTTGTTATGTTCCACATAGTCAAATGCCTTTGAATGGTCAATAAAACACAAATAGGCCTGCTTCTGATATTCTCCGTTTTCAGCTAAGATCTATCTGACATCAGCAATGATATCCCTGGTACCATCCTTATAGGGAAAAGCCATCGAGCTCAGCCACGCTTTACTGATAGTACAGCATTTATTGGTCAGTTTGCTATACTGGCTTGAGGTGAGTGGAAGGGTGGAAGGAAACGGCTTGCATATTGTATACAGTTTCTGTGTGAGCTTGCTTGCTCATAGTTTGCTCTTATAAGTATTTTTCTGTCAGTTTACTATATTGAGGTAGTTTGCTCCCTGCAGTGATGCTGGGAGCTGTGCCACCAGTATTTTAATACCAGCAAGTTATCCACAGAGGACAGGTTTTCAGTGTAGCTTCCAGGTCATGACAGATCAAGAAGGATTGGTCATCTACTTCTGAAGTAACCAGCCTTTGAAAACCCTATGCATTCTCCTGCTCAAAATAAAGTTGTTTCTTATCTATCCCTGT